CACGGGAGATATATATATTATTTTATTTTTTTTATTTTTTTCTTATTTGTGTTCATTGGATTATTCTTCTCATATTTTACTTAAACTTTCAAATTCTTATTTTTACCTATATATTATTTTAACATATTGTGCTTATTCTAATGTTGATTGGGCTACTAATTGTTCATATCATAAGTATACCACTAGTTATTTGTCACATTCATCGTCACCTTTAGCATGACCCTCTTAGTTGGCCTTCGCTTTCACCTTTATAAATTTTAGACTTTTTTATGAAGTTCCATTAATTTTCGTGTTTTTTGCTTCCCGTAACATCATGACTTTATGAGAGTGATTTTAAAGTTATCCGAATTATTGATTGTCATATACTTATTAGAACATGTGTCCAATTTTTATAATATAAATATGTAGTCTTTAATATTGTAATCTATCATTTTTTTATGAAGAATATTTTCTTATTATTAAATCTACAAAATGTATGCAAAGAAATTTATATATATATATATATATATATACAACTCACCTTTATTTACTTTTGCTATGCGTGGCATTTTAGGTTAGATTGTCCTCATTTAGTGCTTTATAATATGAATAAAAAATCATTTATACATGCATTCTAAAACATATTACTATTAAATAGTAACTTAAATAAATAGACTCAAGCGTATTGAGTTCAAATATACTAATAACATTTTCTTAACAAAATTTTGTGTCATCAGAAATTTTATTATTTCATAGTTGAATCGAGCGTCTTAGCAAGACGAATCAAATGAGCCTAAGATCACTCAATTCTGACATCATTAAGACACTTAATGTCTATCAAATGTCGTTTGATCATTTTAAGCTCTCTAAGTCGTCCAATCAAATTGTTTCATATTCTTGCATTAATTGCACTTGGAACTCTATAAATAGAGTTCTGCCCCTCTCTTGAAAAGGGGAGAGAGCATGTGAATTAAGAAGAGCTTGAAGTTTTGAGAATGAACTGAAGTTCAATATCTCTTGCCACCGTCGACCACTACTAATAGTCGTTGACCTCTACCGACCGCCGTTGCAACCTCCGACAACTGTCTATCACCGCTTGTTGATCGTTACCGATCACTATCAGTCAACCACTGTCTGCAGCCCCCTATTGATCGCCACTAATTGCTATTGGTCGCCGCCCGCTTCTTGTAATAGTTCATCCTCGTGTTTACGTTGTAACTTGAAAAACCTAGTAATCATTTCACCTATGTGGGACAAATAGTTGCGACTAAAATCTCGAGTTTACGGTGGATCTCTTCAACTGAGTCAGACCTTATGATTTTTTTTATTTTTAAGAGTCTTTCACTTAAAAACTTATGTTGTATCTACTGATTGTTTTCTTTTAATTAAGTGTGTGTTAAATCTTCGAGCAACGCTAAGAACATAATTTATTACTCTATCACAAACAATTTTCTATCACACCTCGATAATTATTATTACTATTATTATTATTATAAAAAATTATTAAGCGTCGATACTGATCCTAAGCCCCTCTACAAACAAATAGAAAGACAAGCTTCTCTCTCTCTCTCTATCTCTCTCTCTCTCTTAAATTGAAAAGTATTTTCACAATTTAATCGAAAGTCTATTGTCAAAAAAAAAATAAAAAAAAAAAAATCTTAAATTTAAGACGCTACGCTGAAACCATCCAAATCTATAAAACCCCTATCTCATTCTACCCCCACATCCAACCTCAAATCGCATAAAAAAAAAGCGAAAGTAAGGCTTATCCAATATGAACTCACTAATTCCAGACCTTCCCGAAGAAATCGGCTTGGAGTGTCTCATCCGTGTACCCCACCAATCCCTCCCTCTTCTCCGGCGAGTCTGCCGCCGTTGGAAAGAAACCACTGAATCCCCCCTCTTCCACCACCTCCGCCGCTCCGCCAACTCCTCCCGCCACCTCATCGTCCTTTCTCAACTCCACCCTTCACCCTCTCCCTCCTCCGGACCCTCTTTCAAGTACTCCCCCTGCCCCCCTTCCTTCCGCCTCTCCGCCCTCCACCTCTCCTCCGGCAACTGGTCCACTCTCCCTCTAACTCCCTTCTTCCCCCGCGGCCTCCCCTTTTTCTGCGGCCTCGCCGCCTCCGGTCTCCATCTCGTCATCATCGGCGGCTGGGAGCCCGACACCTTCGCTCCCTCCAACGCCGTCTACATCTACAGCTTCCTCTCCGCCACCTGGCGCCGCGGCAACCCCATGCCAGGCCCCTCCCGTTCCTTCTTTGCCTGCTCCGCCGGCCCAACCAACCATGTATTCGTCGCCGGAGGCCACGACGAGGAGAAGAATGCTCTGAAATCGGCCATGGTTTACGATATCGCAAAAGACGAGTGGACGATGTTGCCGGAGATGGCGAGAGAGCGAGATGAGTGCACGGGAGTTTTCGATGCTAAAGGCGGGATTTTTCGGGTGGTCGGCGGTTACCCCACCTTGATGCAGGGGAGATTTGAACGGAGCGCAGAGGTGTTTGATTTGGCGGAGTGGCGGTGGGGAGCGGTGGAGGAGGAAGCGGTGCCGGAGGGAGACTGTTCGAATACGTGCGTGGTGGGAGGAGATGGGAGAATCTATGCCTGCGGAGGAGGGAAGAAGGCGGTGTTGGTGAAGCAAGGGGATGAGTGGAGGGAGATGGCGGAGTTGCCGGAGGATGTTAGGGTTGCCACAAAGATGGTGGCTTTGGTTGGACGGTTGATGGTGGTGGGGAGTAGGTGTTCCGGCGGGGCTCAGGCGGCGTATGTGTTGGAGATGAAACAGGGGGTGGCGGCTGGGTGGCGGGCGGTGGAGATTCCGAAAGAATATTCCGGCCATGTTCTGAATGCTTGCTGTGTTGATTTCTAAGGACGCAATCAATATTAACTGCGTCGTGCTTAAAAAGCTTCAGGTTTCTGATTTATGGTTCTGATTTTGTTTATAGGGAAATGGTCTGTTCTACCAATTTTGAGTAAAATTACTTTTTATTTTTGTAATAATTGCTGGTTCTCGCTATAAACTAGTGCTGAGCATTTTATTGTTTTGGATGAATCAAATCTATTTGACAGAATCGAATTAGGGCTCTTTTTGGGGCAGCTTATAAGTGTCACAGTGTTATCAATAACGTCGTCTAATCAATTAGTTTGTGCGTTTTTTGAAAACATTGTCTGTCGTATTTGAGTTTTTTATACTAAACGTAGGCCTCAAGTCGACCCCCGTAGCCCACCCGTGGACTACGTTTCATGATAAGTTGGTGATCTTGAAACGCACAAACTGTCCCAAACAGATCCTTAATCTAACCGAAATTTAATTCAGCCTAAATTATTTTGTCAAAAACTTAATTGTTAATTTGAGTTTTGTTTTGAATGATGATTAATAATTATATATTTTATATGCATAATATTGATTTAAATTTCAGGAATCCTCAATTTAATTTTAAATTTTGAGTGTTTTGTTTCATTTGGTTAAATAAAAATTAAATTGAGCCAATATTCAAGAAATTAATGAGGTTTTAATTTTACTTTTTTTTATCGAATCAATCAATCAAATTTACTCCGTTCAATTCAGTTTCTGAGCTTTATTCAAATAATACAAAGCCCTATCGGGGGAGAAAATTTTGGGTATGCAAGACGTACGCAGAGCTCCATACATCGGAGGTTATTTAGAGGGTATTGGGGGGTTATAGTTAGGTTACAACCCTTGTAATATATATGTAACTTACATATAATCCATCAATACCTTCTGAATAACCTCTCACGTACGCAGCTCTGCGTACTTCTTACATACGCAAATTTTTCTTCTATCGGGGGGCGAAATGAATATATTTTGGACATATTAAAAAAAAATAAAGGGAAGAAAGAAAAAATTTAATCAATTAAAATTTTAAACATTTTAAAATAAATTTAAGGATTGGGGAATTCATTGATTCCGTGAATACAGGAGATATCCGGGGAAATGTTTCAAAGCAACTGTGGATGGGTTGCTTTTTTTATGGTGTTTTTTATTATTTTTTATTATTTATTTGAGTTTAGGGTTGAGATAGAAAATATGTTTTAGAAATTAAAATATCTCTTATTTTTTGTGTGAACTTTTAAATTTCACAATCGATAAGATCTTAGAAAGATTTGTGCAAGTCTTCAGGTCAAAATTGATTTTTAGAAGAGCTCAGCAGATAAATATTAATTAAACATATATTTTTGTTTATTTTTTAATTAATATATAAGGTTTAATTATATATATTTTAAGAAGAGCTCAGCAAGTCTTCAGGTCAACAGCGACGGTCCAGTGGTGGTGGAGCTCGAGGACAGCGGTTTTGGGGTGTTGGTGCTTGAGAATCCTCAAGAGCTTAGATATTTCTTCAAACTTCTCCTCTGACTCCAGGTCTTGGTTTATGTCTCAAGTCCCAAGTTGCCCTTCATTAAGGGAGTTGGGGTCTATTAATAGATTTTGTGAGTGACATCCTTTGTAAATATTACATGAATCAGGACCACTCCATTGGATGGTCTAAAGAGACGGTTATATGAGCATATATGTACTTTAGTGATGTCGGAATTAAGTGATCCAAGGCTCGTCGGATTTGATTTTATGAGAAACTATATTTTGTTATAAATTTATTAGATCTGAAATCCATTTGATCATTCAATCGACCATCCAAAGTCCCCCATTACATTTAAACGACTCGATCTGTGTTTGATTGGACTCGGGTTTGACCAAGTTTAGAGTCACTGGGTTCGCCTTGCTGAGATGCTTAGTTCGATTATAAGTGATAAAATTTGCATTTGGAATTGTTTCTTACTCAAAATATTTTTAGATACGTTCATGAATAAAACAATTTTTTGAGGATCTCTCAATCAATAAAAATAATGATAATTTTATTTGAAATACAAAATCACACGAATAATTTTGTGTTATTGATAGCGAATTAATTCTAAAAGAAAATTGTCCATCAATGATATATATGTGTAAATGTGCATTGTATCAAATAGTTTTAGGTCTATTAATTTCATGTAAGAAATGATAAATTGTGTATCTCATCATAAACTGTTATATGTTATTTCTTGCAATTAAACTTGATTTAAGACTTTAAAAAAAAAGAGCTATAAATGATTTTTTTTTAAGTACTTCTAAACTTGGAGGCAAGGTTGAGTGGCGTGATAGCTGGGTCCTATAAGTATACAAATATAACATCAATACCACTCAATTCCTATATATTTACATTATTACATATCTATATCTAAATTTCAATTTAGACCTATACATACGACCTTATCCATTCGTAAAAAAAAAAGTGTATGAATATTCTTTCCCGGGTTTACATATAAATGGATAAGATTTTGGGTAACACGCTACGTGAAAAAAGTAGTCAAACTACGTCCAATGGTTGAGCGAATAGGCCAAAAAGACGGGAATATTTGGTAAGATACTCGGTTTACATTATATATTAACCTTATTTGAACCAAACATTATTTTGGATTTAATAATATTTAGATTTAGTTGAGCGAATAGGCCAGAAAGACGGGAATATTTGGTAAGATACTCAGTTTACATTATATATTAACCTTATTTGATCCAAACATTATTTTGGATTTAATAATATTTAGATTTGATAAATCCAATTTTACTGGACTTACTAAATCTATTTAACTTAAAACCTACTTGCGGTGAAACACTTCCTTGATATGAGTGGTGGATAATGGTTATTCTAATGTTTAATATTATAATCTAAATTACCCTTAAAAGGATAATGCAATGCAATCATCATGCTGAGAAAGTAAACATGGATGGAGTTCTAACAGTTTTTCAAATCAAAGGTCTCATTATCTATGGGGGGAAGATCTTCTCTTGATAGGTGATGGTCAACACTTAGATAGCTATTGATACTTCATTAGAAAATCTATCCAACTAAATGCAATTATAAGAAAACTATACAATTTATAAATTTTTTAATGGACTTTGAGGCTACTAAAATTCATGTTCCATAAATTTATAGTTAGTCAGCCTAAAATTTCCTTCTTATGATATCATTAAGACATTTAAATTCATAAAATATTATAAAATAGCAAGAATGTCCATATGCGATCTATAAATAGACCATACTTATGTACATTTAAGGAGGAGGTTAAGGCTATAAGAAAGATTTTATATGAAGAATCTAATCCTCTATCATATTTATCAATGTTGACTTTTATTTCAATGGCCATCACCGCTATTGATGATTCCCACTGTTGTTATCAAAGAAGATACTTTCATTGCCACATATGTTGATTCCCGCAATAGCTAATATTGCAAGCATTCATCATCAACATTAGTGTTAAAGTCGATGCTACCAGTCAACTCTAATGTCAATTCTACTTATCAATGCCAACATCAATACTGATCCTCACTCACATAGCAACCACTTAATATCAACTACAACGTCAGCATCAATGATGAAGCCTTCATTACTAATATGGCAAATGATTGCCATCAATGCCGATGATAATGCTTATTGTCATTACCAAGGCTAATACATGCCATCAATACCAAAACTGTCAGTTAAATGCCCATATATAACAATATTACTGACACATGCATCTCTAACAAGGTTGATGCTAGCCTTTTTTTTTTTTTTTTTTTTTTTTTTTTTCTTTTTTTAAAAAAAAAAAAAAAAAAAAAAAAAAAAAAAAATTTTTAAAAGGAATTTTTCTTA